TCATTAGTAACCAAATAGCAAGTTATATTATGATATTCAAATTGGAATTCAAAAAAGACAATATTAGGCACATTTCTATTTTTGGTTTTCTTAAAGTACAGTAAGTATCTCCAAGAAGAGAGATGTTTATACCAACACACTCAATGCACATTCACAGGGACTTTTTGCTAAACCACCCATGAAAGCCTTCGATGGCTCAGATATTGCTTTCTTTGATCAGGTTAAGTTAACAAAACCAGGAACCATTTATATTTACAAATGGAGTGTCTTTCCACTTCATCGAAGTACAGATGTTAAAGTACTTTGGATTTTGAAGATAGTTATTAATTCTGTGTCCTGAGGCAGAAGTAGAAGATATTAATCTGCATTTTACATAATAGGCATGGTTGATGGAATTATTCCATTGAAAGGTAGATGGCAATACACACAATGAGACTTTCCTGGAATGTGACCTCCAGGACCAGAATAAACTACAAATGTTGAGAAAAGTAATGCTTTGTAGTGTGCGTACCTCATATTTAGTGCATACCTGAGGCGGAATGGAACTTTTTTAAGTCTAAAAATAAAAATTGAAGTAGTAACATCTATTAATTACTGAAGTTGCTATTTATTAGCTGTCTACTATGTACTAAGCAATATGCACTGTTCTTTATATTATCTCATTTAATCCTCATGACAACCTTATGTGGTAGGATATTATTTTCATTTGAGGCATGAAGAAATTGAGGCTTACTTAGTTAAGCAGGATGACTTTCCCAGAGTTACCAGAGTCCTGAAGTCTCAATGATTTTGAGAGACCAGCAAGATCTAGTATCTGATACTGTCATAAACCCAGTGTGTAGGATTTCTTTTTAAAGATCTTAAAAGAAAATGCCTGTCTGTCTCAGTAAACACTTGGTACATCCTTGTGAAGTAGCTTATAAAGGAGCTGCTGAGAAAATTTGAAACCTGATTCTTTGTTACATCCCACAAAGACTGAGGTTGACTGAAAAACTGACAATGTTGGGAACAAGATAACTAACCTTACTCTTTAAGACATTGAGGCTAGCCAATCTACCTCACCCAGAGATGGCATGAGATAAATGTCCATAGACAAATGAGGTCAAAGAAACCTTTGGGTTTTTAGTAACTTGAGTTGTCTATCAATGGATCTGGTTGAGAGAATTCCATGTTCCTTTCCAGGTAAGCAGTTCACAGTTCCCAAGTGGAGAACCTGGAACCGGGATTGAATACTGTGTAAGGCTGGCTTACTCTTCTGCGTGCCATGAGGCCATACGCCTAACATTTGTATTGGAAAGTTGAGCTGGCACGGAATATTATAGTGTGATCCTTTGACTATTCCCATTTCAAAACATAATTCTCTTCCCACCCCATTTTCATGATTTTCCTTTTTGAATGGAGCATGCTAAGTGACCTCACATATGTATTCTGTGTCCCCTTGACAATGAAATTGTAATTTTATATATTTTTAAAAAGAGAGAAATATTTGACTTGAATTAATAGCTTTACATTGTACTTTGCAGCACTGGGTTTCCAAACCATTGGCAACATCTGCAAAGTTCATTATTTCTGCTCTAGAATTAATTCCTAAATTACAATAATATTCAAAGAACTTTGTTTATATAGACTAGTTTTTATTTGGGACATTTAGGGTTATACTGCTCTAGAAAAATCAGCAAGTATTCTAGTGTTCCCATTCCAACCTGTACTGAAAGGTTCAGAGAAAATACAGGAAAACAATATATATAGTACAGTCTACAAATATAGGTATATATACACACATATATGTCCATGAATCCATGCATGTGTGTGTGTGTGTGTGTGTGTGTGTGTGTATGTGTGTATACTGGTGGCTCATGCCTATAATCCTTGCTATTTGGGAGGATGAGATTGGGAGGATAGTGGTTTGAGGTCAACCTGCACAAACACTGTGCAAGAATACATCTCTAAAAAGTAACTAGAGAAAAAATGAATGGGAGGTATGGCTCAAGAAGTAGAGTACTATGAAAGCCTGAAGGCCTGAATTCTAACCACAGTCTCACCAAAAAAAAAAAAAGTGCCAGGATTGGAAACACCCAAGAATGGGTTCTATTTTGTATTTTGTTGGTTAATTTTCATGACCTGAACAGTGATAAATATTATCAGGGCCTATGTAATTTTTGCAAGTGTCATTAATTATATAAAACCTCCATAATCATCTATAATTGAGAAAAATAATGAAGTAAAACAGTGCATACTGACGATGTAGAAGCCTCAAGGTGGAGTTCAAAGTTTTCTCTAGTCTTTCTTTAGGGTATTACAGATCTAAATACCTTATCTTGACAGTTCTTTTCACTAATGTGATTTAAGTCTCTATATTCACTTAGTTAAATTATATAAATTATATATATTTATATATAGTTAAATTACATATATAAATTATATATGTATATATAAATCACATTTCACTAATGTGATTTAAATCTCTATATTTACTTAAATTATATATGTTAAATAATACATATATTATATAAATTCACTATATATCACCATGTATATGATGATTTCATTATAATGAAGAGGGAAGGATTTTGTCTATTCTTCTTCCCGTTATATTCTATATGCAAAGCTTGTTACAATGCCTGATGCTCACTAAATACTTATAGAATGAATAAATTCTTGAATGGATGAACAGTCAATTCATTCTTAATGGTCCTCCACTCCAAGCTGCCCAGCATCAGGTTTTGCTGTAAACAGAACCATATAACTACTGTTGATCTGTTGACAAGTGTTCATGATTTTACATTCATTAGGGGTCATTTTCATTTAAGAGAGGGAAGGGGGGAGGGAGAGAAAGAAAAAGGAGGGAAGGGAGAGAGAGAGAGAGAGAGAGAGAGAGAGAGAGAGAGAGAGAGAGAGAGAGAGATAGGGAGTGATAGAGGGATGGGGGAGTGAGAGAGACAGGCATACAGCCCAGGGCTTGCTTAAAGGAAAGGAGTAGATAAAGAAGGTGGAATGATAGTTATCAACTGGGGACTAGTTGTTTAAAGGTCAGAAGTTAAGCTTATTTTAATATGCTTAGCTGTTAAACTGAATATCATGAATATTTTAATGCAACACCATATTTCATTCTTTATAATAATGATTTGCAATCTGGCTAAATATAAGTAACTTCCAGTTTCCTTAAGGACAGACTATTTTCTGTATTTATAGAATGGGGTTTAGAACAAGGATCTGTTACTCCAGTTCCTCCAAGATCAGTGTCGTTCCTCAAGAAGGGCAGCTGCTGTCGATGAGCACATTAGCACAGAGCCACTCTGCCACTAACATGCTGAAAAATCTTAGACAAATCACTTTAGCTTTTTGATTCTGTTTCTATAGATATGAAGACAGAAATATGAATATCTTCTGCATTTCACTGTAAACTGAAGTGAGACATGTAAAGCATAGAGAATTACAATGTTAATTTTTAGATATTCATGTCAAAATTGTAATTTAATGGTTCTATAACATACTTGGGTATTGTTTGTATTCTTAGGCATCAGTTGTTTAAAATAAAAGGACAGTTTCATTTACCTGAGAGGACTGTGGATGGCTCAAATGAAGTAAGATCAATGAAAAAGATACTTCATCCATGTACAACTGTGATTATGTAAAATTGCAGTAAAATTCAATCTCCAAAAATGTGCTTATCACAAAAACTCAGTGGTACCCAGCAATGTTCTCTATTCAAAATATCCTTATGTCCTCTATTTGAAACTGCCAAAGAATTTGGACTTTGAGGAATACTGAATCATACGTTTACCATAAGTTAAGAAGATGCTACATGCAATGTTATCCTAAATGACATTATTATATAAAATTAATCACTGAAATCAAATAGATCAATTTCATTAACTAGTTCTAAGAGAAAGATCTACTTTAAAAATGGTGATTTGGCATGAGTATGCAGTCAATTTCTTCAAAAGTACATGTAAATTTAATTATCCCTGGAAGCTATCTTTTGAAATGGCAAAAATACTCACGATGTGTCATAAATGCTGTATTTCTACTCAGAGCAGTGATTTCGAGTCACATTGCTTGCCAGAGTTAAAATTCCTCACAAAGGCTAAGAGTTCCTCACAGCCGCCCAACTGCTCATTATCTACAAGACTGATGTAAAATTGTCAGCTTCCAACTATTTTCTGGGAAAAGGTATGAAAACATTCCAAAAGATTGACAGAGAAAAAGCCTCAAAATGCTATTCCACCTCACACCAGCTCCCATGTGCCCTCCAAAATGGAGACGGGTTATGAAATCAACATTTTGAGCCCACCCAACAAGGAAGCTGACTGATTCATCAGCATGTAACTGAAGTCATAGCCAAGCAAAGCAACCACACTGCAAAACAGGTCAGCACCATAAGGAGAACACACACACACACACACACACACACACACACACACACACACACACACACACACACACACACACACCATGTTGCTCATTACATGCCCTTCAGCAGAAATATAAGCTTTCGATACTGAAAATAGTACCTCAAAGCAAAGCCAACAAATAAAATTCCCCTAATCCACACTGTATGAATATTTTAAATAATCCTCAAGGGCAACCTTATTTAACAATTACAAAGAGATAAAGTTTATGATAGAAAAAGACAACAAGGACGTTTTATGACATCCTGCATCTCCACCTATGTTCTCAAGCCTATTGTCACTGCTTGTCCCAATTTCATACTTTAAATGTGTGGAATAGCCTTTGGACTCCTTCCAGGCTCTTAGCACCTTCCTATTATTGCCAAATTATTTCTTCTTTAAGTATGTCTCCCAAGGATTTAGTGATGGGACTAAGAAGGTAGCAGCATTACTGGGAAAAGATACTGTCAAGTGCCTCCCTCTACCAAATTTTATGTCCTAAAAGAACCATTATAGAACCTTTGGTGTGGACAATCAGCATTGGAAGCATCTGCTTCAGGATATCATCAAAACAGAGTCCAGTCTGGCTGGATTTTCAGAAAGACTTACAGCTTTCAATTTCCAAAGTGCAGTTTTGTTCATCCAGTGGGTACCGCCTTAGGTCCATCATGCAGGCAGCTGTGGTTGTGATTCTAGAAGAGAAATGACAATTTGTATTGTTAGCAGGTCCATGCTTGGAGTTGGATTTAAATTCAAGTACTGAAGAGGACAAAACTGGCCCTCTGAGAGGCTGAGATTTAGCCTAAGCAATAGTGCAAAGAAGTGATGCAACTTCATATCATATCATATCTGAGACATATGAGATCCCTCATATACCTCATGCTGACTTGTGAAATAGACACTGGACAGTACTTCCCAATGTCTAGTCCATTAACTACTTATGCCCAAATCACCCAAGAGTTTTTGTAAGGAAAGCAGTTCCCATGCTTGCAAAATGTCTTGGGGGTGAGATGAAGTGACCTCAGGACTGTATAAGTATTACAGGTAATTATAACAGAGACAATGAATAAAAGTCTTCTTTCTCTAACGTTTGTTGTCTTTCTCAAGATACTATTGATTTTGGCCTTAATCTCTCATGTTTTCACCCTTCTACAAATATTATTTGATATGCTTTAATGCAACACATATCCAGCCTTTTATCTGTCACCTGATTTATTCTCTCCTGAGTAATCCAATATTCTCATGAATCCTTAGAGAGTCCACTTCTAAGAGCTGGAAGAGCTATTTCTTTAGAACAATTACTACTTTATTATTTTATCAGAGAGAAATGACTATAACCTTTTATTTTTTGTATATATTTCTTTGTCATCATTTTCCATTACTTTCTCTATTGAAGACCTATTAGGAGCCAAAAATATGCAATTCTAAATGATTTGCCAATATGTCTTTACTGAACACTGAGGCAACATAAAGTCATGAAAGGAAATAAAGCTTTGAATAATAGAAAACAGTAGATGTAGGTATGTACTTTAACTCCATAAAAAAGCTAAGAGTAGTCTCTTCAAAAATTTGCATCTGTTGCAGGAAACTAAGAGTAGAAATTAACGTTGAATTTTACCAACTAGGCTGACTTTGTTGTAAGTGTTCTGAGGAGTGTTATACACTGTGCTGAGAACAGAGAAATAAGCTTCAGCTCCAGCTTGGAAGCAACAGCCTAGAGTTAGATCTTTATTAATTGAAAATGCCTTGTACAGAGTGAAATCAGCAATCCAAGTGGACTGAGTCTATGAAATTCTTCAGTTGGATGTGATAATTTCAGCTCTCACCTTTGTAAACATGTAATTAATGTAAATCTCCCTCACATCTTTAGGTTGATTTTATATTAAAGTTTATGCTTTGTGAACTTCTGTTTTCCTTTGTTTATAATAAATAAGTACCTAGAACTTATGTTCATCCTAATTCCTTCCTTTTTTCAGTGCATCCTTCTGGCTTTGCTTAATTCTTTGCCATTTCCTCTGCCGACCTCTGAGTTTGTCCTCACTGCTCCACAGTCAAGCCACTACAGGAGCTTGGTCTCTCAGGTCTCCATTCCTCCCCCTCACATCCATTATCCAAACTGTACTTTATCACTCCTCTGTCTAAAATACGTAGTGGTTCTTCCAACAAAATCCAAAGTCGTGATGATGGCTTAGTACACCTTGAATACTCTTCCCCTTCTTTCTTCTTGGAATGTCCTTCTATGTCTCACTCGATATCTTTCTGCTTTTGCATTTGTTGTTTCTGCCCAGAACAAGTATCTCCCTTGTCTTCACAGAGTCAACTCTTCTGAAAACCACCTCCTCTGAGAAGTCTTACTCAAGCAGCCCATCCAAAATGGTTGCCCTAGCTATTGCTCCATTTTAACTTTTGTTCATTTCCTTCAAGAAATTACTATAATCTGGATTATCTTGCTTATTATTTTTTCCAAAACTGTCTATTTCTTCCTATAAAGTTAGTTGTTTAAAGGTACAGACCATTCTCTTTACTGCAAAGGCACTCATTAAATATCTGCAGTATGAATAAATACATGAATTTATAATGAGGCAAACAGTTCTGCTCATTACAAGTCATTGTATTTGGAGAATTATTTTATTGCATTACTTCTTTTTTATATTAAGATTGTAATGTGTCTTAGATTTAGAACTTCTTTGTATACTCTTAAAATAGATAAAATTTAATCCATTTAAAATTACACAAATAGTACTGGAGCTTATCTTATACTGATTGTTTCTGCTTTCAATGAGATGTACCAAATAGAATACAGAGTCATATATTCTACAAATGCTATTAAAATTAACACTCACATTTAAATTACAATTTATTCTGGCTATTTGTTACCCAGATGAATTTCTCACTGGTTCACTGATGTTTTTTGTTTGTTTGTATGTGTTCATTTACATGTAAATATAATTTGAATTGAAGTTCCACTAACATACATAGACCTGCACTATGCAGAAATTTCAAAGGACATGAAATTATGTATAAAATGGGAATACCAAACACCAACACTATTTATGTAAAGTGGCACAATTAATCCCTGTATCCAGAAACTACAGAAAATTAACTTCTTCTGATAAAATGAGTACAAAAGATATGGATGTTACAAGGTCATACATTCAATAAAAAAGGAGAGAAATAAGTACAGAAAGTCCAGTCGTGTAAATGAGGTAAAATATGCAATTGCTACAACAGGTTTTGGTGCAGACTTTTCTGCCAATACATACTCATGGCAATTAACATCTGTGAGCTAGTTCTGTGTACACCAAGAAAAATGAATTTACTAATGCTATCAGAGTAGCTCTGAGTTCTATACATGTTTAAACCTAGAGTAGAAGAAAGTGTTTTTGTCACATGATGCATATTTATGCCAGTGTTTTAGTGCATTTTACGTGGTATGATACAGTTTATAAAGCTCACAGGTTTTAAAAATGTCTTCTAGTCAATATTCACAAAGCATTTACAAATGTCATCTATTGGATTAAAGAAGAAACTTTGGGGCTCAGATCATCCATTTTGAATTCTGGTCACACAGACAAAGATGACTGACCGCAGACAAATCGCTTATATTCTCTGACACTTGGAAAAACTTTCCACCTTAATTTTGTTGTGGGATGACAAAAATAGAAAGGGATGTGTAACTCATGAAACTTCTGCAACTTTCATTATCACTACCTGCTAATGAGTAGGACAACTCATTTTATCATGTTTTTGGTAATATAAAAGTATCTGCTTGTATAAATGAAGTAATGTAAAACAACACAAAATTATATTACAAGCAAAGAAAAGATCTAAATATGAATGTAAATAGCTTTCCACCACATAGATATGCAAACTGAATAGTTATTCCACATGTGTATACAGAACTGTGAAAGACAAAGTATAAATGTGTGATAAAATCTGGAACTTTTCCAAGTGCTTTGTGCGATCAGGAACCATATCTGTTTATGTCATTCTTTTATTTCAAACCCATGTCTCCATCTCAATATTAAAATACTAACAATAAGCAGTCAAACAAAGGAGAAAGAGCTATAATTGTAAGCATTCTCACACTAAGGATTTTGAGGCAATTTCCATTATTAAGTACCCAAAGTATCAAATAAATTTGATAGTCAAAAACATTTTGTAGAAAAAGCTACCCTGAAATTAAGCTTATTCAGAAAAGCCCAGGGATAAGTATCTAAGTCTGTTCTTTGGGGCTTTTTGATTTATAACAGGGCCTGACATGCTACAGAAATAAGTCAATACAATAAACACGGCTAATGGGCTTTTCATGAACATTCCTTTTGAATCCCAATAAACTTCCTTAGTGGACCTTAAATAACTTGACATTACTACTAGGAGTTTTTGAAGTGAGAATAATAACTCATTCTATGGAACTATTGTGAAATATATGGAGACAGCTTTGTCTTCAAAAAGAATAGTCAGAAATGCCTCCAGAATCTACCATTTTTTACCTGTGGCAAATCTTCTATAGTTCAAAAAAGGCTATCCTTGGGAAATGTCCGTAGTCTGCTTGGACTAAGATATCTTTAGACAAGTTTTTCATTGCTGAGCCATTGGCCACTGTCATCCAGGAATAGGTTGTGTCATAAAATACCAACATACAGCAAGAAAACTAAATACACAACACAGTCTGAAGACTCACTTAAAGGTATCTATAAAATCAAGAAATACAATAGTTAAGCTAGCATTGTGTACCAAGGCCATAAAAGATATTTTATAGTTTCATGATGCTAGCGTATCATTTAAAGTTTTGGTTAACATTTGGATACAAGTTTGGATATGATCAAAGATAATTATCAAGTAATAACAGGTACCTTCATCTATATGCCAGTATGAAAGAACTCAGAGTCATAATCAGTGTAACATATCTTAGATCTTTAAGAGGGGATTCAGAAACAGGAGCAAGCATGTAATTAAGGATATGAGAACCTTGCTGTGATTTCAAACTGGCTTATTTACTGGGAAGCCAGTGAGCACACTGACTCTGAACATCTACTAGATGACCATCCAATTATTCCACAAGAAAAACAAATGTTTTCAACATCTTTGTATGTCAAAAAATTATTTGTGTTATTCCCAACTATGTTCAAAACATTATTCTAATGCACAATATGCTTTTACTTTGCTCTAAATATACATATACTTAAAAGGACAACAGCTAGGAGTGTTGGCTCGTGACTGTAATTCTAGCTACTCTAGGAGGAGAGATCAGAAGTATCACAGTTCAAGGCCAGCCAAAGCAAAATTCATGAGATTCCACCTCAACCAATGGCTGTGAGGTGGCATACCCAGCTATGAGCAAAAGCACAAATTGGAGGGTCATGGTCCAGTCCAACCTAAGCAAAAATCAAGTCCCTATCTCAAAAATGACCAACACAAAAAGGTTGGCAGCATGGCCCAAGTGGTAGAGTGCTTGAATAGCAAGAGTGAAGCCCAGAGTTCAACCCCCAAGTGTCAAAAAAGAAATCAAAACAAAAAACCAAACTTATTCTAATTATGAAGGATAAAAGAATCTTCTAGCACTTAGTAGGTTTCCTTGAGAAAAAAGTCAAGATGTCAAAAATAGTCAATTACAAAACAGCATATCAATAGATATTTGTTAATTTTATTTTATTTTTATTACCATATTATTGTTGTACTGGGCATACACTGTGACATTTACAAAAGTCAATATATCTTAGTTAATAACAATGTATCTTAGTTAGACTCACCCCCTCCATCATTGTCCTTTATCCCCCATCCCCACTTCTTAGAATAGTT